GAGCAGGAGCAGGAGGGGGAGCAGGAGCAGGAGGAGTGCGAGGAGGAGGAGGAAGGGAGGAGGGAGGGAGGAGAAGGGATCAGGAGAGAGGAGGGAGGGAGGAGGGAGGGAGGGAGGGAGGGGGGGAGGGAGGATGAGGTGGAGGAGAATGTTCGGAAGAGCAGGAGGAGGAGGGGGAGCAAGGGGAGCAGGGGGAGGACGAGGTGGGAGGAGGAAGGAAGGGAGGGAGGGAGGGAGGGTGGGAAGGAGGGAGGAGGGGGAGAGGTTGGGGGAGGAGGGAGGAGGAGGAGGAGGAGGAGGAGGAGGAGGAGGAGGAGGAGGAAGACGAGTGAGGATGATGATGATGATGATGATGATGATTGATGATGCATGAGGATGATGACGCACGGACGACGACGACGACGAACGACGACGATGAGATGATGATGATGATGATGATGATGCTTGATGATGATGATGAGGATGATGTGATGATGATGATGGTGGTGTGGTGGTGGTGGTGGTGGTGGTGTGTGGTGGTGGTGGTGATGATGATGATGATGATGCTGGCTGCTGCTGCTGATGCTGATGATGATGATGATGATGATGGTGGTGGTGGTGGTGGTGGTGATGATGATGATGCTGATGCTGATGCTGATGCTGATGCTGATGATGATGCTGATGCTGATGCTGATGATGCTGATGATGCTGATGATGACGAGGAGGAGGAGGAGGAGGAGGAGGAGAGGATGGGGGGAGGAGGGAGGAGGGAGGGGGGTAGGAGGTGGAGGATGACCCCGATAACATCTCGATAACACTCGATAGCACTGTTATCGAAATGCTACCGAGCTGTTATCGAGTGGTTTCGAATGTTATCGAGCTCGGTAGCACTCGATAACACTCGATACCACCTCGATAGCACCTCGATACCATTTCGATAGCATTGCTATCGAGTGTTATCGAGCTCGGGAACACTCGATAACACTGTTATCGAGATGCTATCGCGTGTAATTGAGCTCGATAGCACTCGATAGCCTCTCGGTAACACCGCGATACCACCTCGGTAACAGTTCGATAACATTGTTATCGAGGTGTTATCGGGGTGTTATCGGGGCGTGATCGGCCTCCCTCCTCCCCCATCCTCTCCCCCTCCTCCCTCCTTCCCTCCCTCCCTCCCTCCCTCCGTTCCTCCTCCCACCTCCTCCTCCTCCTCCTCCGCCTCCTCCTCCTCCTCCTCCCCTCCTCCTCCTCCGGGGGAGGACAAGGCAAATATGGGCGCCGAGGAGAAGGGATATGGAGGGAGGAGGAGGGAGGAGAAGGGATGTGGAGGGACGAAGAACAAGCAGACAGATAGGCGAGAGAGGAGGAGGAGGAGGAGGAGGAGGAGGAGGATGAGGAGGAGGAGGAGGAGGAGGAGGAGGAGGAGGAGGAGGAGAAGGGTAGGAGGAGGCGGGGAGAAGGAGGAGGATGGAGGACGGAGGAGGAGTGGGAGGACGGGAGCAAGAGGAGGAGGACTGGACAAGATAATGGGGGCTTAAGGCGCATGGGGAATGAGGGGGGGGCGTAGGTGGAGGAAGGAGGAGGAGGAGGAGGGAGGAGGAGGAGGAGGAGGAGGAGGAAGGGGAGGAGGGGGATTTACCCATCGACCATGATGCAGCCCACGTACGCCTCAGGGGTGGGCGAGTCCACCTGAGGGAAAAACTGCTCCTCAACAAGACGCACTGGACAGTTGAAAAGAAGCGAAACAGCGAGGGGAGCCACGTACTGTGCAATCGTAAATAACCCCTCAGACATGGCAAAACGTGTTTAAATCGACCGTGACTCCAAGCTTTTTAGGATGGAGCCCCTTTTTCAATTTATTCCATGGATTGCTGTGTGACGCCACTTTGCCTGGCTCACACTTTTTGTCGAGGTTCCGCAACTGACCCCCCGACGTCATATAATCACACATGTGGCAGATACATAAAAAAGAGCCGTCCGAGCAATCGAGCAGCACGCAGCGACGACCAAGCGAACGCATCCTGGCCGGAGACACCTTCAGCACTGCCGAGCACCTCCCACCAGGGGGCTCGACCGATGGCACACCACGCCTCCCACTGAGGCATGCAGCGCACTGCCAGTAGTTTCCTACCCAGCTCCACTGGTGCACAGACTTGTCCTGATATGGCTTGGGAACGGGAGGAGCAGGGATCCGTTCAGCGTTGGGGCCTAGGGCAAGCCGGGGCCAAAGAGAAAGAAGTTTAGCCCCAAGACGTCCCACAGCCCTAGCAATGGCGCATTCACGGTCAAAATTCTCTTGAGCGGACTCCGACGGCGCAGGATGCAAGAGTACCGCCTGCTTGGCCGTCTTATCGGCCCAATCATTGCCTTGTCGCAAGAAGCGTTCGTGATCGTCGGAAGCAGCCTGAATGTCCAGATGGGCCTTTACCTTTTCAAGCTGCACCTTTGGCCAATGTTCTCGCAAATGTTGCGCCATGCCGCTATACATTCTTTTACTTGATGCCGGTTCAACCCAAGGCAAACGGGAAAAATCCACACAGCCTTGGCAATCCGAAAAAATCGTGGAGGGACCTGTCGTCCACTGAACAGCGACAGACATAGCATGATATTCTGCTGCCTGCGGCGTTTGTGGACAAGGCGCCTACACTGGACCGTTCACCCGCACGATGACTTTTCCAGTCTCTCTCGATGCCAGAACAATGCTCCAGCCCGCACGGTTGAGCTCGCTCACCAAATATCGAGTGCACGAGCCATCGACGAACATGTCACCCTCGAAAAAGGTGTTCACGTCCCCCTCCCCCTCCTCCTCCCACTCCACCTTGATGCCGCCGGACTTGAGCGGCGACGGGACGGAGTCGGTGGGGTGCGGGAAGATGCCGTAGCAGGCCAGGTTGTCGTCGGCCTCTGCTGCCCATTCTTGGATGCGCTTTTTGACGAGGCTATCCCTTAGCTCGACCACGTCAGGGCATTAGCATTCCCAGAGGCGGTGTCTAAGCGTGTCTACGCACTGCCCACAGCGGGCACATCTTCGACGGCAGCACGTAGCCTAAGCTGGCAGCGCGATCATGAGTATAAATAGCATTGCAAAAAAAGGCCCTCAAACAACCTTTCTGGTAAGGGGTGTACTTGGAACTTTTCAGATAGTTGAGGACGGGATCAACACAGGCACGACCTTTCATATTGTGCCTGGCAGCCGTATCCCATTCGAGCCCCCTCAACACAGCCTTATGCAGCACATTTTGGATCAGCTTCGGGGAGAACTCGGTGAGTTTCAGCTCCTCACCAAGATCGGTAACTAGCATCCCGAAAGCAGGCATGGTCCAAGAAATCCGCTCCAAGGACTTTCTGAGAGCCGTCACTGGGCCCGACACGCTTCGCCACAGCGGGGATTCACCCTCGAAACCCGCCTGCCACGCCGAGCGCAGCTCTGGCAAGGAGAGAGTGTGGCTGTACAGCCGGTGGTGCGCCCACCAAACCTCCTTGGACCAGCGGATAATTGGGGCCACGCTCGCATACCAAACCGGCTCGCCGTGCGCCAAAAGGAGTGCTGTCAGCGAGCGCCCCTTGGCCGACGGCTGTAAGACAGCACCAGCCTGTCTACGATATCTTAACAGCTCATAATCGCTGACGCCGTGAACCTCGGCCCCAAAAAGCTCCGACGCGAGAGCCCCAGAAGCGAAAACATTTCGGGCGACTCGCCCCCCGACCGTAGGCCTCAAGCGGGCCAGACGGGTAACGAACTTCTCAGTTTTCCTCTCACGTTTTTTATGTTTGGCACTCCTTCCTTTGACTCTCCTGGGCCGGCCAGCGCAATCGTCCACGCCGAGGTTCGGCGCCGAGGAGACGAGAGGGCCAGCCAGACCTCCAAGCTGAGCGGCCAACTCACGCCCCAGCGCCTTAGAAGAGCAAATCAGCGATCGTTTCCCCTCGTCCTGACTGACCTGGGCCCCGACCCCCTCCTCTAAAACAGTATACAGCTGACGGGCCACCGGCGGCAAACTGGCGACGATGTAATCCTGAGTGCCCGTGGCGCTAACCCCTGAATCGCCAATGTACAGCTTAAAGTGAACCTGGAGCGGGATTTCTAACTTTATCCAGGTTCTGGATCGCGTACACCCGAATAAAACTGGTAGCGAAAGTGCATCCAGCTATGATGCCCCCCCTCGGCCCAGTAGGGCCCATCAACGAACCCATTCAGCACAAAGAAACGAACGAGCCTGGAGGTACATCGCAATCGCCAGACGAGCAATGGCAAGCGGGAAGTGCATCTGCCGAGCTCGCCACAACAGGACTCTGAGGTTGATAGTCTCATAGTACTTATAGAGGTCAAGCGGAACAGTGGCAGCTTCTTCTTTGACCAACGTGGACGTTTCAGCACGATGCGCTTGCCTCCAGACCACATCTTGGGCTCCCTCGAAGGGCCCAGCAGCGAAATACTCACGCGCATATCGAAACTCCCACTCCTGGGCCAGAGGGCGGCGGACCTTCCCATAAGCACGGTACAACGCACAGAAGTTCCCTATGGGCCTGAAACCCGAGCTCACCTTAGGGATAAGGGTGAGCAGAGTGACCGACACCTGCACAGGGATCA